AAACTATTATTATTTTTATTTTTATTTTTGCCAAAATTATTCGCGACAATTTTTTTACGTCGCTAAAAATGAATTAAATTATTATTTTTTGCATTTTTTATTTATAAAAACATTATTCGCGACGCTTTTTTTCGTCGCTAAAAATGAATTAAATAATTATTTTTTGCATTTTTTATTTATGAAAAAATTATTCGCAACGATTTTTTTACGTCGCTAAAAATTAATTTAGTTATTATTTTTTATATTTTTTCATTTATGGAAAAATTATTCCCGACGATTTTTTTTCATCGCTAAAAACTAATTAAATTATTATTTTTTTAAATTTTTTCATTTATGGAAAAATTATTTGCGACAATTTTTTTTTGTAGCTGAAAATTAATTAAATTACTATTTTTTACATTTTTTATTTATAAAAAATTATTCGCGACGATTTTGTTTCGTCGCAAAAAATAATTAAATTAATATTTTTTTATTTTCTAAATTTGTGGAATATATTTTAGTGAGGTTTTTTGAACTTTTTGCAACGATTTAATTTCGTCGCTAAAATTTTTTTTCCCAATGAAAATAAAATTGCGTTGCAAAATACTTTATGCGACGAGTCTATTGCGACGAACAGGCGACGAAAAAAAATCGGAGCAAAAAACAAATGACGACGATTTTTGTTAATTTAGCAACGAAAAAAATCGTCGCGNTATTTTTTTACATTTTTTCATTTATGGAAAAATTATTTGCGATGATTTTTTTTTTCGTCGTTGAAAATTAATTAAATTACTATTTTTTACATTTTTTACTTATAAAAAAATTAATCGCAACGATTCTTTTCCTTCATGAAAAGATAATTAAATTAATATTTTTTATTTTCTAAATTTCTGGAATATATTTTAGCGACAATTTGAATATATTAAATTTGTGGAATGAAGTTTGCATGCTGGAACATTAGAGGACTTAACAAGCCCTCAAAGCAGGAAGAAGTCAGGAAGTTGATAGTGGAACAACAGCTTGAACTTTTGGAAATTGTTGAAACAAAAGTTAGGAGTGTGAATAAAGATAGTTTGATGCATAATGTGTTTCTAAATTGGGATTACTTGGCCAATTACGATAGCCATCATTTTGGAAGAATCTGGATTGGGTGGAACACAAATACAGTAGAAATTAATAAAATTGAGGAAACTGACCAAGTGATACATTGTTTGATTAAACATTTTGATAACAACTCACAATTTTTTGCTTCTTTTGTATATGGGTCAAATGATGACATTGAGAGGAGAACTCTATGAAGGGGACTTAGGCACCATTCAAATGTTGTTGCCGCTGAACCATGGGTTGCTTTAGGAGACTTCAACGCTATTAGAACACCAAGTGAAACTATGGGAGGTCAAAGTAGTTGGTGTCAATCAATGGTGGATTTTGATGTTTGTTTGCAAGATTCAGAACTCATGGATCTTAGGTACACTGGGATTCAGTTTACTTGGAGTAACAGAAGAGAAGAGGAAGCCGTTGTAGCCAGAAAGCTGGATAAAGTTCTGGTTAATGAAGCCTGGACTAACAGATTCCAAATGTCTACGACTGATTTTCTTCCTGCAGTTGTCTTGGACCATAGCCCAGCAATTGTTCAAATTGGCCCAAGGCTCCCTAAAAGAAAATGCCCCTTTAAATTTTTCAACCACATTGCAGCAAGAGAGGACTTTTTGGACCTTGTTCAGCAGATTTGGATTCAAAATGTACAAGGAAGTCGCCAGTTTCAAGTTGTCAGCAAGCTCAAAGGTCTCAAAGTTATTTTTAAAGGGATTATCAAGGAAGTAGGGGATGTTTCAGTGAAAGCAAGAGAGGCAAGAGAATCTCTAATGAGATGCCAAAGAAAGCTGGACACTAACCCTGCTGATACTGCATAGAGACAAGAAGAAATTCAACTCCTGAAGGATTATACTCAAGCAGCCAAAGATGAAGAAATTTTTTACAAGCAGAAATCCAGAGTCCAATGGCTCAAAGAAGGAGACAGGAACGAATCATATTTTTTCAAGACAATGAATTGTAGAAGAAATAGGAAAAAGATTCTTACGCTTGATAGGGTGGATGGATCAAAGGCAGAGGGTGATCATGCAGTGAAGGAAGAAGCTGTTAATTACTATGCCAACTTATTTGGCCAAGCTAGACTTGTTGTCCCAGTCCAAGAGCGAAGAGTTGGTATGCAGTCCCTTGTTCAAAGCAAAATTCCACCACACATTGCTGCCGAAATGGTTAGAGAGGTGTCTAATGAAGAAATAAAGGAGGTAATCTTCTCTCTAAATGACCGTAAAGCTCCTGGCCCAGATGGGTTTAATGCTTTATTTTTTAAGAAAGCTTGATCAATCATTGGGCATGATATTACTGATGCAGTTAAAGAGTTCCTTACTTCTGGTCAGCTGCTTAGGAAGCTAAATAATACAATCATCACCTTGGTCCCCAAAGTTTCAAACCCCTCAACTATAGGGGATTTCAGACCAATCTCTTGTTGTAANTTATTTTTTAAGAAAGCTTGATCAATCATTGGGCATGATATTACTGATGTAGTTAAAGAGTTCCTTACTTCTGGTCAGCTGCTTAGGAAGCTAAATAATACAATCATCACCTTAGTCCCCCAAAGTTTCAAACCCCTCAACTATAGGGGATTTCAGACCAATCTCTTGTTGTAACACTCTTTATAAAGCTATCTCAAAGCTTTTAGCTAACAGAATCAAAAAATGTCTTCCAAACCTTATCAATCCAAACCAAGCTGCCTTCATCCAAGGTAGAAGAATTGGAGACAACACCCTGTTAACTCAAGAGCTTATGAAAGACTACCACAGAGATTCTGGTCCCACTAGATGTGCACTTAAAGTTGACATTAGGAAAGCCTTTGACACTGTCTAGTGGGATTTTTTGCTTGATGCTTTGGAAGCCTTTAATTTCCCAATAACAATGAGGAATTGGATCCATGCCTACATTACTACAGCCAAGTTCTCGGTTAATATGAATGGGGAGCTGGCTGGTTACTTCTGAAATGTTAGAGGATTAAGACAGGGAGATCCATTATCCCCCTACCTTTTTATAATTGCAATGGAGTTTCTATCCCTAATAACCTAGAACAACATAAAATCCAATCCCAGTTTAAGTTCCATTGGAGATGCTCAAAGCTCAGAATGGTTCAACTCTCCTTTGCTGATGATTTGATGCTATTTTGTCATGGTGATGCGACCTCTGTTCAAACCTTGAAGAGATCTCTTGACCAATTTGGCCAACTCTCTGGATTGTTTCCCAATATTGAAAAATGCAATCTATATCTTTGTGTTGTCCCTAAGGAGGAGAGATCTCTTATCATGGAGATTCTTGGGTTCTCTATTGGTGATTTACCTATCAAATACCATGGAGTTCCATTGGTTTGCACCAAGCTTAAGGCTCAACACTGCATGGGCCTCATTGAAAAGGTTGAAAACAAGGTTAAGTCTTGGACCAATAAGTTCCTATCCTACGTAGGAAGGCTTCAGCTGGTAACTTCAGTGCTTAGTAGCATGCATGTCTTCTGGGCTACCCACTTGAGCTTACCACAGAAAGTGTTGGACAAGCTTGAGCAAACATTGAGGGCTTTCATTTGGAAAGGCACTGAGCTCAAATATACTAGAGCTAAAGTTGCATGGAATGATGTTTGCAAGCCGAAAAGAGAGGGTGGCCTGGGTATAAAAGGGTTGAAGGAATGGAACAATGCCTTGCTCCTGAGACATCTGTGGCAATGGTTTAATGACAAGGAAAACTTATGGACCCAATGGATACATGCTTACTATATAAGGGATCGAAACTTATGGGAGCTCAAAACTCCCCAAACCTGCTCACATACCTGGAGGAACTTTTTAAAACTCAGGAAAATCCTAAGACCTATAATGGTGCACATTGTACAGAATGGGCAGTTCACAAGCTTCTGGCATGACAACTGGCATCCTTATGGTCCCCTGTTACCAAGAAGCAGCTCTAATATAGTGCAACAAGCAAGAATTCCAAGGGAAGCAAGAGTCAATAGTGTTATTGCCAACCACCAATGGAACAGAACTGCTTCCACTCATCTGTGTGTACAGGATATTTTTAACAACATGCCAACTTACCTTCCTGATCATACCAGAAATGATTTTTTGAGATGGACCCTTACTACTGATGGGAATTACTCTGCCAAATCTGCTTGGGAGCACTTGAGGAATGCAACTAGTATGGTCTCTTGGCATAATTTAGTATGGTTTGGCCAGTCAATACCTCGAATAGCCTTTATCCTTTGGTTAGCCATTAAAATGAGATTGAGTACTAAAGATAGAATTCAAGCTTTCTCAAATGANTGGCCAGTCAATACCTCGAATAGCCTTTATCCTTTGGTTAGCCATTAAAATGAGATTGAGTACTAAAGATAGAATTCAAGCTTTCTCAAATGAGGTTGACACTCAATGCGTCTTGTGTAGAAAGGCAAATGAAACTCATAGCCACCTTTTCTTTGAATGTGATTACTCCTCTAGAGTTTGGAATTCCATCCTTCTCCAGTGCAATCAACATGGACAGCAAAGACAATGGCCTGATTTTATTGAATGGGCTGCTCAGCAGTGGAATGGCAAGAAGATGACCACTATTATCTTGAAGATAAGTCTCTCTACTACTGTGTATCATCTTTGGAAGGAAAGAAACACAAGAATCTTTAGAAACCAAGCTGCTGACTCTCATACTCTCATCAAGATGGTTAAGCAGTCTATTAGAGAGAGACTCATTACTTTGAAGTTCAAGTGCAGCCATCTTAATGCCTCTACACTGTTACAATGGAACCTGCCTAACACATGCCTCCATTAGTTCTGAATTTGAAGCTTGTTGTGTCAATGTTTTGACACTTACATGTCTTTCCCCTATCTTTCTCGATTTGGGATTCTTGGGGAAGTACTGACTTAAGGCCTATACTTCTCTCATAATTCCTTACTTAAGAAGGATTTTTGTTTCATTGCGTGTTTTGGTTTGAATTATGTGTCTGGTTGCTGCTGTGTTGCTCTGTTTTTTGTGCTACTGGGTTGTGCTTGGGCCTGTCTACTTGTTGAAGGTTCTTTGTTTTTGTTCTGCTTCATGAGCCTGGGCTGTCTGCTTGATGCTTGTTGCTGCTGGGTTGTGCTGCTTATTGAAGGATCTCTGTTTTTGTTATGCTTCACGAGCTTGGGCTTGTCTGCTTGATGCTTGTTGCAGCTGTTGTGCTTGGGACTATCTGCTTCATGCCGTTTGCTGTTGGTTTTTGTTCGCTGGACGAGCTTGGGCTGCTGGGTCCAGTTTGGGCTGCTGGTTTTGTTTGCAAATNGTTCAAATTATAGAAGGAAAAATGGCATGCGTTACTAGTTGACATAGAAGTAGGGCCCAACAAAGTCCAGCTAGATGGTATGGATAACNAGTAGGGCCCAACAAAGTCCAGCTAGATGGTATGGATAACGGTGCCAAGTGTGACGCCCCTAGGTGCAACACCCAAGGTGTGATGCCTGTGACGTCCTTGGGTGCAACATCGCAACAGAGTGAAACATATCCCCATCGTATTGAGAGTGATAAATAGACCCTTCACCAATGATGAACAAAAGTGGAACCACATAAGTTTAGGGGTAACCTCCGCGAGACTCATCTCCCCCACTGTGGAAGTGATATCCTCAACCTAGTAGACATCATTACTCGACTAGCCCAATGGACTAAAAAGAGGGGTCTCCACCTAGGGACAAGGTAGTATAGCCCTCTTCAATGAGAATTGAGTAACGGGGATGGGCGAGCATGATTGTTGACCTCGACCTAAGGTAGAGTCTCGATAGTTTAGTCTGCTCTAGCAAGCATTCCAGTGTATGGCTCACTGCCTACTAAGATGTGCTTAACTAGGATTTAGAATGACTCCTATAGTAACTAGAGTTATTGATCTGAATCAACATATGGGATAAATGAGACATGTGGATTGGTGACTGAAGGACCAAAATTATAAGGATTTCCTCTATCGGGCACCTCGACAAAAGTCTCAAGAAAAGGTTCAGAGAGAGAAGAGAAGATCCCAGGTAGGAGCGCGTTGAGGGCATCGTGTACATGGCTCTCTCGAGGTCATGGACCTGTTGTGACCAGTCACGAACTTTAATCTTGGGATCCCCCTTTCACCTCTGTTGTCAAACCCGTCTACTTAATGTTGGGACACGTGGCTCACGGTTAGCTGCCATTGATATCGCCGTAGTCGAGACAATTGTGGGTTGGCCCGAGTGTTAGGTGGTCGTAGAGGGTAACCCTTCGGGCAGCCTGACCTACATAGACACTGNAAAAGTCTCAAGAAAAGGTTCAGAGAGAGAAGAGAAGATCCCAGGTAGGAGCGCGCTGAGGGCATCGTGTACATGGCCCTCTCGAGGTCATGGACCTGTTGTGACCAGTCACGAACTTTAATCTTGGCAGCCCCCTTTCACCTCTGTTGTCAAACCCGTCTAGTTAATGTTGGGATACGTGGCTCACGGTTAGCTGCCATTGATATCGCCGTAGTCGAGACAATTGTGGGTTGGCCCGTGTGTTAGGTGGTCGTAGAGGGTAACCCTTCGGGCAGCCTGACCTACATAGACACTGTGCGATAAATACACACATTACTTACCTACTGCGAAGAATGAGATTTTTATATGGCTAGTGAAAGCATTTTCACTCTACCTACACTCTGTCCAACTGGTTGGACCCTTTGTTAATAGATTGCTCGAGTTCCTTCTATTACATCCACTTATCTTATTTATCCTCTTCGATTATCCTTAGCATAAACACGTGACAACAATAATAGAGTTAAAAGTTTGAATCTTATCTTCATATATTTTTGTCGGCTTTTCTATCTCATCTTGAATTATTTAGTTTTACAAATTTTCATATTTAGTATTGCAAATGTTCCATGTAGCCCTGGCAGTAGTATTTGGTTACTTTCCCAATCACCATCTTGCCTTAAAAACACATACACACATATAAGTCGTAATCATCTCTATCATTATCGCAAACAGATTACTTGAGAGGGGCTTTTAGAGGCATTCCCCCAATGTCATCTTTATTTATAGAATTTTAATATTATTAAACTAAAAATAAGATTTTTTCTAATCAAAATCTTACACTTCTCAGTAATTACGTATCTAATTTGCCACACTATTTATAATTCTTCACTATCTATCCATTTATCTAACTTCTCATACTATCTCTAACTTTCAAGTTTTCACTATCTAACCTATACTATCTGTAATTCTCATTATCTATCTTCTTTTAATTTTCCTCAAATATTAAGATGAGGAGGGAAGTTAAAACGAGATCAAAATATAAATCGCGTGTATTGCACCCGACTGACCACGATAACAATGGAAAAGGGACCAACCATGTTAAAACCTACAAAAATGATCCTCAAATCTAAATGCTAAACAACAAATAAGGCAAAAAAAAGTTGATCTTATCTGATGTCTCCTCGCGCCTCACGAGGGGTTTTATAGGATTTCTATATATTCATCTAATTTGTCCATACCATTAGACAGTTTGCTCAAAGATGAACCCTCAATTAAAAAAAAAAAAAAAATTGATTCTGCTATGAAATTTTTCCACAAACCTAATGCCTACTGTGACCCCACTTTGTCATTTCATTGAACATGCACCGCGCATGGCATATATTAAACCATTTTCTTCCTCTCTTTCCCACTCTCTTACTCACACACACACACATATATATAGGACAATGCAGCCTCACAAAGCCCAAACCACAATTCCCCACACACTAAAGAAACAAGTCGCCACATAGCTGAAAATCACTCAAGATTCTTATTTTCTCTTTACTCATGTCAAAATCACAAGAGGTGGAGGCTTTTGGATGGGCTTGTAGAGACCCATCTGGTGTTCTCTCTCCATTCAAGTTTTCAAGAAGGTTTGGTTTGGGTTTCTCCCTTAATGGAAGAAAATATCTGGTTCATTATAAATTAACGAGACGAAAGTCTTTCATCCTTGTGACATGACATACTTTCCTCGAGTTACTTTAAAATATTTTTGTTATATAGTTAGGTTGAGTGACCATGTTTATTGATACGATGATGGTGGTGCTCATGTGTGTGGTATGACTATGTAGGGCTACTGGTGATCAGGACGTGAGATTGAAGGTGTTGTATTGCGGGATCTGTCGCTCAGACCTTATGATGAACAAGAATTATTGGGGTGTTGCATTGTATCCAACTGTTCCAGGGTATGTATAATCTATTGTTTGGTCGGTCTCCCGTTTAATATGTACATTTACTGATTTTTTTTTCTTCATACACATAGATAGGTTACTATTGGCATCCATCATAATTTTTTAACCACACACCTATAACAAAGGAGAAAATCCATTGAGCGGGTGAAATAGAAGCCCCAAAGGGGGGCTCAATCGAACATCGAAGAGGGGGACATTGAGAGAATTCAATCATTGACTTTGATAAAGTTTACTCCTTGACCCTTAGTTTTTCTTCTCAAGAGAATCAAGCCACCAACTAGACTAGACCCAGTTGATCACTTTATCGAAGTTAAAAATAGTTTTGGTGATTTAATTCTAGTTGGGGACCAATAGTTTTGCTTTTGAGGTACATCTCAAGTATCTAAATTGAAATGATCAATGCAGGCATGAGATTGTGGGTGTAGTGACTGAAGTGGGCAAGAACGTACAAAAGTTTAATGTTGGAGACAAAGTGGGCGTGGGATGCCTGGTGGGATCATGTCGAAAATGCGAGAGCTGTGCTAACAACCTTGAAAATTATTGTCCCCAACAAATGCTCACAGACAGTCCCCCCTACGTTGATGGAATCATAATCCATGGGGGTTTCTCCGATCACATGGTCGCCGATGAGCACTTTGTACTTCGTTGGCCTGACGACTTGCCTCTAGATTCCGGCGCCCCTCTCCTCGGTGCAGGAATCACAATGTACAGTTCATTGAGGTATTTTGAACTTGACAAGCCTGGTATGCACATTGGGGTGGTGGGTCTCGGAGGACATGGCCATTTGGCTGTGAAATTTGTAAAGGCCCTTGGTGGTAAAGTGACAGTAATTAGTACATCCCCTGAAAAGAAGGAGGGAGCTATCAAAAACCTTGGCATTGACTCATTTTTGGTCAGTAGTGACCCCGATCAGATGCAGGTAATTATTAATTAGTAGGAATCTTTACTTTTTTACTTTTTTTTTATGGAGTGGAGATGGGAAAGAGCAGAAGCCCCAACCACCTGTGGACAAAAGTGAGCCTTTACCACCAGATGAGTCCGTCATTTCATATCGAAATGTTTTATGGTATTCAGTTCTCATGTTATTATGTTTGATATGACTAGATTGCAATGGGCACACTAGATGGTATCATTGATACCGTCCCTGCAGTTCATCCTCTTCAACCTTTAATTGATTTATTAAAAACCGATGGAAAGCTTGTGATGAGCGGTGGACCATTAGAGCTGCTAGATCTACCGGTGTCCCTTTTGATTTCTGGTAAGTGCATTTCACTTACTAGCATCTATGGAAAGAGTTGTGATTAAAGGTCTTGCACAACTTTAAGTTATCTAGCATTAGTTTTTGATATAAAAAACTTGGTTTTATTAACTAAATTGAACAAGACAGTATAGCTGACTTGGGGTAGGGAATGATAGGTCGAAAAATAGTGGCCGGAACTGACATTGGAGGGTTGAAAGAGACGCAAGAGATGCTTGATTTTGCAGCAAAACACAACATTGTAGCGGATGTGGAGGTTATTCCTATAGACTACGTGAACACAGCAATGGAGCGTCTCGAGAAAGGCGATGTCTGCTACCGATTTGTTCTGGATATGGCAAGCACATTGAAGGTTGCTTAATGTGAACATTGAAGGCACTCGGGTTTTTCTTCTACGATCATGTTCGAGTTGTTTACTATTGATTTCAATAAGAGGGTGACCTCAAGAAGTTAATTTGATGTGTTGCTTTGAATCTGTGTGATTTTTTTTTCTTGCCTACAGTGTTGCCTACTTGTCTTCAACTTCAGTTTCCTTTGATATACAGTCCAAATCAATTGGGGGAAGTGAGTATGTGGAAATTACAATTGCAATTTTACAATAAATTTTGCCAAACCTCTACAGTATTCACCAATTGTCATATAACTGAAATAACTAAATTTATTGATTATCGTCATAAACAAACGAAAGAATTCAATGACATATCGATTAATGTCACAAGTTTACAATGAATTCTTGCGTAAATCATTATTTTCATAACTCTTTATTTTTAAATCGTATTAGAATGAAAAGTTTCAAAAATAAATTAAGAAAATGTCATG